GTCGACCATTTCTGGCCGGCAACTTTCAGCGTCATTAAGCCACTGCGCCACCATGTCCCCTCTGTGATTTGGTACAAGTCAGCAAATCTCTTACTACTGAAGGCCTATCTTCTGATGTTGACATTCCCAAGGCCTTGAGTGGAGGAGGCTCCTGGTCCAGGGCAGAAATGATGAGACAGATTGCTGGTTCAGCATTACTGTGGGGCTTGATGGCACAGAATCTGATTCTTGAGATACCTCCTCCTGGTTCTATTCCTTGTTTTAGGCTTTTGAAACTAGCCCAAGACACACATATAGTGGTAGTCTACTGAATATGTTTTGATGTTGGTAGAGGTAATTGCAGGGATTGAGAATTAACACTGAGATCACAGTTAAATCAAACTGAGTTGAATCTAGCTAAATATTTAATTCAGCCAAGCCTCCTGATAAGATTCATTCATCCTTTGTTATGGGAATTTACTCTAATTATTGTAATATAATGTTTCCATATCTTTTGGCAACTTTCTATGTAATTAAAGTGATGATATTTTCCCAGAACTCCCGAATTACTTGGTTTTATTGTTTCAATTACTTGTAATTAAATTTGCAGGAGGAGGAGCAGTTTGGGGTTACACTATAAAACATGTAGCATCCTCATAATAATACTAAGCTTCTTATTAACTGGTAATAATTCTTGGAATCATACTGAAAAAAATAGCATGGGATGATTTTTAATGGGCTAGGGCATCAGTATTTTAGGGGATTCAGATTTTACATTCATTAGATCAGTGTTTCTCAACCTTGGCAACCTGTAGATGTGTGGACTTCAACTCCCAGAATTCCCCAGCCGGCCAGTTGAAGTCCACACATCTTCAGGTTGCCAAGGATGAGAAACACTGCATTAGACCAACCTTCCCCAATGTGGTACCTCCAGATGTGTCCAGATTCTGACTCCTAGAATTCCCAGCTAAGATCTAGGAGGCAGCTAGGTTGGAAAAGGTTAAAGGGTACTATGCTGTGGCTTATGCTATAATTGAAATTCTGACAGTAGATACCACATATCATTCTCTATTTTTTGTTTGGTGCTGTTTTTAAGGTTTCACTGGAAGAGAGATGAAGGATCCATTGCTCTTTCTGTTGTTCAGAATCCAGCGAGGAAAAGACCCTATGTCTGAGTTTGGTATCCATATCCCGCTGTCAAGAATTATTAATACAATTCTACTTTTTAAATGGAAAAAAGTGTCAATTTTATGGTTGTTTGTAGAACTTTGAAATACAATGTGAATGTATTTCCTGGAATTAACTGAGTGCAACTTGAGCTGTATGTATGTAGGGATGCTGCTTCACTTAAAAGGCATCATGTCCATAAATGTCAGAGTCTGCACACTCATTTCCCAAGTTCAGTAAATCCTCTGGACTCT